TGAACTAATTTAAGTTTCAGTTTCAGGTTTAATTAAATGTATGAGAACTTAAGTAGTTAATTATTTGTCATAAAAAGTGGATTATTGAACTTTTAATTAAGCTTAACTACACGCTTGAATTCATTTATATAAACTAGTGTAAATTTGTAATAGATAGCTTATTCAACTCCTTGATTACATTTATTATTTGTTAATTTAGGTTTTCACAACTATTAATTAAATCAGATTTACTATCAGTCTCTTCTTCATTGTACCAAAAGATCCATAAACAAAGGTTTCAATGGTGTAACGAGGTGACAAGTTAAAGATTTAAGTCTTACGAGCCTAGATATACCTAACTGAATCCTACATATAATAAGTTGTTTTTCTATTTTTATTTAATTATTTCAAGACCATCAATAATTATTTCATAACCTAATTGTTTAAATAATACCATTAATAATTATTTCATTTATTTAGTTAGTTTATTTAACCTTAAAAAAATTTAAAAACTCAGATAAATTAAGGCCAATCCTTTTGCTTTTGGTGTCCAAGCCCGTGTTGTGCAGTAAAAGATAAGTAGGAGTAGGCTCTCTAATTTATTCAAGTGGAAATTACATAAATCCCTACTTTAATTATTCAACATTCTAAAATCAGATGGAAAGTTTAATCTTTCAAAAATCAGATATTTTATTTTAATTAACATTTTTACTAAATATATACACTCCAAACCCTAGTTAATTCCCACATCAACCCTACCTCCCTCCACTCCCACCTCATTTCCCCCAAATCCCACCCATTTCTCTCGTCTCTCTCATCTCTCTCTCTCTCTCTCTATTGCCGTTGCTGTTGATCGCTCGCCGCCGGAGACAATTATGAGAGTCGAGCAGCAGCGTCATCGCTGCTATGTTTCCCCCTCGCAGCCAGCGTTGTGAGATTCGGCAGCGACATCATCGTAGCCGCTGTTGTGTTTCCTCCTCGCTGCTACAGTAGGTAAGAGAATCCGCCGCCAAAGACTCCGATCGCGGCTACAAGGCTCCTATTGATGTGATACCGCTGCTGTGCTACGCCCTTGTAGCCGTCAATGCGAGCGCCGACAGAGGCATCTTCCTCGCCGTTGCTACAGTTAGATAGTGGCGAACTTGCTTCTTTTGATGTCCCAACTATCTAAACCAGTTTTGGGCGATTTTAGGGTAGTTTGGGGATCTAAGATGGTCGCAGATATGGTTGTACTACAGGTGGTTGGTGCAGGTGGGGTTGGATATGGTAGTGGTGGTGAGGTGTTGGTGTTGGTGTTGGTTTTGGTGAGAGGTTGTAGTGGTGTTGATGGTTGTTTAGTGGTGGTGGTGCGATGGTAGTGGTGCAGGCTGTTATTGGTGGTGGAGGATGTTTGTGGTGCGATGTGTGGTAGATGTGTACGATGGTGGAGGTGTGCTAGTGTTGGGAGAGATTGTGGGTTTTAATAGACGGCGGTGGTGCAGTGTTTGATTGTAGTTGGTGGTGGTACTGGCCGTCGA